TCCTTCTAGGCTGTAATATTCCCTCTTGTCTTTCTAGGCTGTGATACTTCGCTCTTGACCTTCTAGGCTGTGATACTTCGCTCTTGTCCTTCTAGGCTGTGATACTTCGCTCTTGTCCTTCTAGGCTGTAATACTTCCTTCTTGTCCTTCTAGGCTATAATACCTGCCTCACCTTCGTTTTAGGCTACAAATTTGTCAAGAGTTTCCATACTGTTCTACTTTCCTCTTACGAATTCTTCCTATTAATACTATGGTCGTCGTGCTGGTGTCTTCCGATGAGCACAGGGCTTTGGTGGGTAATTTAGGAGGAGTCAGATTTCAAAAACTGTATGAATCTCGTCATTTTAATAGTCTGCTGTCTGGTGAGAGAAATATGCTAGGAAGATGAAATGTGAAGTGACAGTTAGCACAGATATTTTTTTTCCCCAGAGATTATTTGGTGTGTGTTAATGAATCTTATTTAAAATAATTTTCCGCATTTACCGGTTAGGTCAGCAGTGAACTTTGACACGAAAAACGTGCTGGAACTATTATCATCTAATGTATAAATTGAAGGCGTCCTATCAATCATATATTTGTTACTAAGATTTCTTGCTATACTTGCGTATTAATTTCAGAAATGCAGCTGAATTTGCTATTAGGACTTGTTTGCTTTTCAGCAGTCACTGCTAAAATATATTTCAAGGAAGAATTTTTGGGTAAGTTCAGCTCTTCGAAAAAAGGATGAAGCATATTAATTTTAACATTTTCCTGTGGTAGGATTAGTTGAATGTTGGAAACAGATAAGCGAAAAGCTTGATTATAATTAAGAAATGCTATCGATATTCAGTTGTTAGGGGGCGATCATGATGTGAATTGTTGATTTTCAGTAGACATTCTCCTCAATGCTGAGGTCGATTTAGATGCAAGGAGCCCTGTGCCGGGAATAGTTTTGTAAGAACACTGATACCACTGATTTCGTTATTACTATTAAAGTAGCAAGATCTGGAATTTCTTTCTGATTTTTAGATGATGAGTGGGAAAAAAGGTGGATAAAGTCAAAACATAAGGATGATTTCGGCAAGTGGGAAATATCGCATGGCAAATTTTACGGTGATGCTGTGAAAGATAAAGGTCTCAGGACGGCACAGGTATTTCACCTTCTTGCGATCGTTCGTAATAAAAGTTCAATTACACCTTTATTACAAGTAGTTGTTGAAGTCATATAGTGTTCACCAGGGAGATTCATTTATTCATCTCATGTATTTATTGCAGGATGCGAAATTTTATTCAATTGGTGCTGAATTTGACAAAGGTTTTTCAAACAAGGGTAAATCCCTGGTTATTCAGTTTAGTGTCAAACATGAACAAGACATCGACTGTGGCGGTGGCTATGTTAAGGTGAAGTTTATTTTAAAAAATAGCTTTTCTTTTCCTTTTGCTTTCTGATTACAGAACCATAATGAATACGGTTCATCAGGACGATTTTTTGAGCGATTTTTTTTTTTATTTTTTTTTAAATATATGTTTTCTCCTTCTTCGTCGGGTGAGATGGAGCTTAGTGTTTGAAATTATTATTTTTTGCCGAGCAGTGGCAGCACTATCTGATGTGATGTTACACAGAAAACTTTTTAGTTGACTTCTAAAAATGTGTGTTTCTGTTGTATTTTGTCGCACTGAACTTCATTGATGATCCTGCTTCGAAGAAATGCAAGTTTGCTTCATCACCTCTGGAATCTACTTGTTTTGTAGTCCCATCTTTTTCAGCTGATGGCATCAAATGTAAATTTAGAAGATTTCCATGGCGAAACTCCTTATCACATTATGTTTGGTCCTGATATTTGTGGACCTGGTACAAAGAAAGTCCATGTCATATTCCATTACAAGGGTAGGAATCACATGATCAAGAAAGACATCCGATGCAAGGTTTTGTCTTTTATTAACATATTTTTTTCTCTTCGAATTATCTGTGCTTTTCGTGGAGTTATCGATAATTCATGGTATATCGATGTTCATTCGAGAAGCTATATCAATGCTTCTCGCGTATCTACTCGTTCAGTCTCATAATATGTTCGGGTTCGTCCGAGATAAACATGCAGTTTCATTGTAACTCTTTTTCCTACTTCATATGTTCGCCGTACATTTGTTTATCATTACAGGATGATGTCTTCACTCATCTTTACACATTGATTGTAACTCCTGATAATACCTACGAAGTCCAGATTGATGGCGAGAAGGTTGAGTCTGGTGAGTTGGAAGCAGATTGGGACTTCCTCCCTCAAAAAATTAAGGTCATTCTTCTTAATGATGTTTGTTTAAGTGAAAAAGGTTGCTGTGAGGATAATTTCGACTCTTTTAAAAAATAAATGTAAAGTTTGAAAATTTCCAAAAAGTGCTGGTGGTGTGGTCCAATATCATACACGGAGTGTGTGGTAAAGCAAGAATGTTCAGGATCCAGATGCAAAGAAGCCAGAAGACTGGGATGAACGGGAATACATTGATGATGAGGATGACAAGAAACCCGAAGACTGGGACAAGCCGGAACACATTCCTGATCCCGATGCTAAGAAACCGGAGGACTGGGATGATGAAATGGACGGAGAATGGGAACCACCGATGGTTGACAATCCAGAATATAAAGGAGAATGGAAGCCGAAGCAGAAAAAGAATCCTGCATACAAGGTGAACTTATAGTAAATCTTGTTTCCTTTCTAAATGCTATTATTAGTACAGCAGAATCACTTTAGTATCTTTTGTTTAGGGCAAATGGATTCATCCAGAAATCGATAATTCAGAATACACTCCAGATGATAATTTGTACGTTTATGAGGATATTGGAGCAATTGGATTTGATTTGTGGCAAGTAAAATCAGGGACCATTTTCGACGACATCATTGTGACAGACAGTGTGGAGGAGGCCAAAGTATGCTTTCGTAATTTGTCATTATCAGTGTATTTTTCGTGATAATTAGAATGAAGATAGTTTTGTAGATTTATTTGGGACTTACCTTGTGGCAATATTCATACTGTTGGTATTGGTATAAGCATGATTATGAGTAACTTTACCGGGATACATGGTTTCAAGAAGGCCATCACCTTTTAAAGGTTAAGTTACACAGAAATCTTTGATTACTATCTGTTACAACTGAACCATTTGCAGAAGTTTGGTGAAAAAACATTGAAAAAAACGAAGGAAGGTGAGAAGAAAATGAAAGAAAAACAAGACGAGGAAGAAGAAAAGAAAAGGAAGGAAGAAGAGAAGAAGACAGACGAAGAAGAAAAGGAGGAGGAAGGAAAGGAAGAGGGAGAAAAGGGGGAAAGCGAAAAGAAAAAGGTGAATCTATTGTATTTGCATTCATTTTTCTCTTTGCATAAAATTTAAAAAATAAATAGTTACTTTTATTCAAATTTTGCAGGATAGCGAAGAACACGAAGAGTTGTAAATCAGTGGACATTGCGTGCCAGAATAATTTTATTGGCACACCAATTGCCATATCGGTTTTCCTGATATGTGGCATTGTTACTTTTTACGCTAGGATCTCCTTGGGAAAATTTAATCAAGATTTTGGGAAGAATTTTAATACTGCAGAAGTAATGTAAAAAAAAGAAGGGTTTGGCGCTGGGGATACTTTTGTTTCTAATTTATTCATTCGATATTCGTAATTTGTTGATGCATTATCCTCATTTCTCTCCCTCTTATTTCGCTTCTTGATTTTGTTTATTTGTTCAGATCAGGAATAAATATTTTTATTCTTATAAAATGTTTAAGTACCGAACGAAAATGGTTCTCGCTTATCACTGGGTTGAACCCATTACAAGAATTATTTACTAGACCTGTGATCTAAGTAGTCATAGTGGGATTTGTGTCTTTCGGCTTTTTAGCGAATTTTCCTGTTTCTCATTTTTACTGCTTGTCATTCACGAAACCTTCATTGGTTTTTTCATAAGCTGATGAATAAAATTAGGTGAAATGGGAAGCATTACGGGAGGAGGAGGTCTGAAGGACGACTCGAATCCATACTTGATGGCTACCATCCGTCAGGATGAGTAAAAATTGAAAATAAATGAACTTGATTCCTCTCTTACTGTTTTTCTTGTAGGCTGCAATGGATTGTACTGTTTAACTCGAAAATATCTTACGGTTATCTTCGGGAGATGTTCCCTGGAATTCTTTGTTTTGCTTTGGGGATTTGTATGTTTTTCAGAAGTTAGTGGCTCTGATTTTGATATAACTATTTTGGATGAATGAAGGGAAAAGGCCGTTCGATTTATTGACTTAAGAACAGCTGCAATGGACATTGCTAAAGCTCTAGTTCGATGTGCCAACCGATGAATGGCGTTCAGGTGACGTGGACCAATAAAAGGCGGGATGTATGATGAGCTCAGCAAACGTATTCCGGAATGTCTAGGATTTAAGCGATGGTAAACGCATGAAATTCCAAATTATGATCCCTTCTTCTGTATTATTTGTGGTGCTTTTATGTATCATCAGCTACGCTAACTGCAAGATATATTTCCAAGAACAATTCAAAGGTCGCACTTAATTTTTCCACCATTTAATCTGTTCTTGGGACTTTCTTCAAGTCTTTACTGAAAATAAAAATAGGCCAGACCTGAAAGTTCTGGAAATTCTAAGCTAGTTTTTTCTTTTTCTTTTTGCAATTTATAGTGGCAGGAATCTCGACATATTTCACGAAAGATCTTAAATAAGTTCGTCGGAAGATGAAGGTTAATGGTAATGAAAATTCGAAGAATGGCATTTGTTGTTTTTCACTATCGAAATTTTTTCGAGATTTAGGAGACTTGCGTGTTGTAATTATAGTAGAAACAACGTAAATTGGTAAATTAGAATTATTATCAAACGTGCAAATAGCTAATTAAGCAATTTGTATAACAAGGAAAACTGAAGGTTTATTATATACAGTGAAATGGAATGTAACATTATGCTGCTTTTCGATAATTGAATTACAGCCTTCGGACTGAGCTTATTATACACAAGTTTCCTAAACCTAAGAGCTATGAACCGTAATGTTAAAACAGACAGGAATAAAGCTTAGTTCCTTATTTGTCTTTGAAAAGAGTTTGAGATTGAATCTGTGATTAGCTTATTAATGCAGCACAAAAGGTTAGATGGCACCAATTCATATGCATTGTTTTGTGTTCTATTTTTTCCTTTTTATTTTTTTAATACTAAATCTTATTTCTTCATTGCTTGAATAGCAGCAGGTATTTCCAGACGGAGATGGCTGGAAAAGGCGGTGGGTACCATCTGAATATCGAAAGGACTATGGAAAATTCAACCTTTCCTATGGTCAATTCTACAATGATCCAGAGGAAGATCTTGGACTCACTACGACCGAGGTAACTGGTTACCAATTTAAATATACTACTAGTTCTAATAATATTATTATTAATAATGATAATAAGAAATAAATAAAGAGTTTTTTCGACTTCAGATGTTCGAATCATTTATGCGTGTATTTCAGGATGTCAAGAATTATGCTATTTCGGCGAAATTTCCAAAATTCTCGAATAGAGACAGACTACTTATCATCCAGTATGCAATAAAACGATTTACTCTACCTTATGATGATTGTGGTGGCCTGTACGTAAAGGTATATTTACTTCCGTGCTTTACTATTTTTACAAAAGAACAATATTACTTACTTGGAAATCAGTCCTAGGACATTGTTCATGTTACCAAACAATTTCACATGACCATTTCTCAAAGGGAAAACTGCATAATGAAACAGACTGAATAAACAACAGATGGTTTAAAAGTTTGTGAGATATCTATGATTCTGAAAATAACTGCAACAAACACTTGAAATCCGGTTGTTTAGGATGGGTGGGAATTGTGGATGCATGTATATGTGTGATAATCTCCATGGAAATGGAGAGCTGCGGCAAGTATTTATTAGGCAAGTAAATAGGACATCGAAAACATGGAATAATAAATAAGACTAAGACGAAAGAAGACTAAGGACTTGTATACAAATTGGAAGGGGATTATAACCTGAATATGTATGGATCTAATACTTAGGCACATAATGATATGAATATAACACTGATTGTTACCACAAAAAGTTCCCGATATTTCGGTAAAATATCTTTTCTTAGAATAAATTTATTCCAATTCAGCTAATGAAATCAGATTTGGACCAAAAACGGTTCAGTGGTGAAACTCCATACGAGATTATGTTCGGGCCAGATATATGCGGCATATACTTGAAAAAAATTCATGCTATATTTCGCTACAAGGATTCTTACTATCACTGCAATTCATTTTTGCCCATCACTGTAATTATTTCTACTTCATTTTCACTACAAGCATAAGTTTCAAGTTAATTTTTTCATTCAGATTTCTTTCCAATAGGATTTCAACAGGAATCTCACCATCTTTCCTTTTGGTCCTTCTGAGTGAAATTACTGCTTGTAATTTTGCAAATTTACGAAGGAATCAGGATTTAGAGTAAAAATTCCAAAAAGTTGTGATTTCGTGAAATGTAGCAGTAATGAGGTGAAATGTTCAGTGTTAGATTTAATTCTAGAGTGATGAACTATCTCATGTATATACAATGATTTTATATCCGAATAATTCCATCAAAATACTTGCCGATTATGAGGAAAAAATTACCGGAGATTTGGAAGATCACTACGATTTTCTTAAGCCACGACGAATAATGGTTTTTCTTATTTTTTCACCTACTACTAGAGCCTTCCAGAGATTTTGCTTTTTCTTCCATTCTAAGAAATATACAGTTAGCGACTGTGAAATATGTGATCAAATTTTATCGCTTCGCATACAGCTTTGTGATGTACTTTGCATAAATTTTTTCAAAGTGCAGTTTAAATAATTTTCGTTTTTATTTTTATTTGGATTTTATTGAATACTGTCGGTGGCATTGAAAAAATATGATTTTAGGACCCAAGTGTGAATAAGCCAGCTGATTGGGTTGATGAAGAATTTATACCTGATCCAGATGACAAAAAACCGGACGACTGGGATCAGCCAGAATTTATATTGAATTTAGAAGTTAAGAAACCAGATGATTGGGATGATGAATGGGATGGCGAATGGGAGCCCCCGGGAATGATAAATCCGGACTACAAAGGTAAATGGGTACCGAAAGAGATTGCAAATCCAGCATACAAGGTTGGTTGAGTGAATTCGCTTTCCAAATACTTTTTTTTGCACTCCTCCCGCTGATAGCGATATGAAATTAATAAAATTTACCACCGAAATTATTTGTTACATATCTCGGTTCAAGGATTGAAAGAATAGAAATTCAGGGAGAATGGATACATCCTGAAATCGATAATCCAAATTATATACCAGACCCGAACCTTTATCTGTACGATGATATCGGTGCAATTGGAATCGAGATTTGGCAAGTGAACAGTAGTACAGTATATGACAATATCATTATAACCGATTCTATTGAAGAAGCTAAGGTAGTGTTTGAGAAAAGTAAAGTTTAAAAAAAAGAATACTGACAGGATGCTCTACACTTTTTGAATTGTTTCATGGAAACCATTGGGAAATTCAGTTCGTAATCTTTTCATAATGAATTTTGTAAAATTGGGAGAGCTTTCAAATAATGTTATCTCCATATCCATCTATTTCTACTTCTGATGGCATAAAGTCTACACAATTGAACATTCAGCGTACTTCAGAAATTTGCGGCTCTTACGTTAAATGGTACTAGAAAAGGTGAGGAAAAAATGAAGAAGGAATACGATGAAAAGCTCCAGCGTGAGGAAGAAAAGAAAAAAGAAGAGGAGGAAAATTCAAATGAGAAGCAGGAGGTAAAAGAGACTGGCTTAAGTCGGGAGCACGGAAAAGAGGGAACAGAGAAAAAGGACGAGGAAAAAGAAAGTGGGTCTGACAATAGTCAGAAAGAAAGAGGGTTAGAAATGGAGAAGTTAAGAAAGGGTGGAGAAGGCGAATTGAAAGAAGGTAAGGAAGAGCCAGAAAGAAATCCGAACAAGTATGTGGACGAAAGTGAAGGATGGGAAGATGATGTAAGTTTATCTTCAAGTGAAAACTTATAAGACTTCCGAGAGTCCTCGCTGACGATTGACTGTTCACTGATATGAATATATATTTTCCGATTTACTGCTGGGAAGAAACGACTTACGACTTTAAGGAGACAGAGTTATTAGCAAAAGGTGACAGTATGAAAATTTTTCAGCTAAATTTTGTCATTTCAGTCAAAAGAAGAAAAACTGGAGAAAGAAGAACTATAAATAAAAGAGGGTTATGCTGGTCAATGTTAACCTATGAGGCTGAGGATTTAAATCCGGAATAGTTCTATTAAGATGGCTTTTCTGTGCTGTACATATAAGAAACCAGATTATTACTTCACTCTTTTGTTACCAAATTCCCTAAACAAATCAGCAAATCATTTCTTTATCGAAATCAACAAATAATTCGAAGTTAGAATGTGAAACACTGAGAGACATGCTGACATCATCCAGCAATAAGTTGTAGTCGCAACATGTAATAAGCCGGCAAAAAAAAGTATTCTTTAGTCGACCACCATAACCTTTTATCACCTATTTTTAGGTTACCCACCATTCTTTCCTTTCATGACCAAAGATAGATAATCATTTTTCTCTTCTACATCTTAAAAATTATATGAAAACGAAATCAACACTGACTGACTCCAGCAAGTTGATTATTTGCCTCTGTTATTATTTGTACTCGGAAATGAACATCAAAATGTTTACATCCAATGACAGATAGATAATGCTTGAATAATTAAGTCGAATGATTGCGTTTACGATGAGCCAGATTAATCACTGCCATGTTATATATCGTTAAATATGTTGGATACATCAGTAAACAACAAAAATGTTCTCGTCTTACTCTTTACTCATCAAACTGTTTAGGAACTGTTTATGGAGATCTTGTACTAACACAATATGTCTCATTTTGAAATATTCACTGTAACCTGCAGTGATCTATTATATAGGAAAAATATTACAGTAAGAACACATGCATCCTCATACACGCGCACGCATGATGAAAGAATATATGAGAAACTAGTTGAAGTACCAAATATAATATCGCAGAATACAAACGGAAGAAAGAAACGGAAGCTTTTACAAACACCAGCAAACATATATATATAGCTGGAAATAAAAAAGGAAAAACAAATAACTGAAATTAAAATTTCCTATCCGTTAAAAGTAATCTTGCTTATGATACTGTCATGATATTCTCTATGAAAAGTGAACAAATTTTAAAAACTCAATTTCTGATTATTCCTTCAGAACTATAAAAAGAAAAAAAAGAAGAAACCATATGGTTGTTATCAAATGATCAATTCAAAGAACATCAGCTACAATGAGAAAAATCCATCTGCAATTGCTCAAATAAGTTACACCACTGTGTTGCCAATAACCAATCATGCAATTCTGCAATATAATTCCACCGTTTTGAAACTAAACAGAAATGTTCACTGGAAAGATTCGTTATTTCTTAAATATGGACATCTTTCCTTCTTGCATCAGTATACTTATGCATACAAATAAGAGGGAAATTTATTTCTCTAACCTCGAGGTAAAAAAAAGAAATATATTTCAAAAAGTATAACTATACGGAACTAACCATAATCTTACGCGAACTGAAAGCATTAGAAGCGGTGGAATGTACATCATTCTATATACAGTAATATTTTAATCACATTCCATCTGTTCTTCATTATCTGAATCGTAACCTTTATGTGCTTCACGAAATTCAGTAAATGAGCTTACGGGAAATAATTTCGGTGCACAATTATTTGCCGTTTGTCGATTTGCTATCATACTATCTGTAAAGTCAGGGAAAACGTTTACAAAACAGAAAGGAATAATTCCATTCTCAGATAATAATGTGCTATATTTCAAGCTCACTCTGGAACATTCCGATACAGTAGAATATACATCACGATATACTGCGAAATAATACCGCAAATTCTTTTGATAACAAAAGTCGTCAAGTGATAAATAACGAAGCTCATGAACTGATTACGTCAATAAAAGAAGGCCTCGAAATATCAATACATCAGTAGACTTAGAAAAAACTGCTTTAAAAGTGACTAAGCTATATTGATTAGCCCAATTTATTATATTTCATGATCAAACAGTGAGAATTTTACCGAAAGCTCAATTAGCTGAAGTCTGACTATGCTTAAATCTAATTATGAAGTTTAATTTTTTAAATATTATAAAATAAATTGGCAATAACAACGTATTATATGTAGTATAAATTGGTAATATTTACTAATAGCATGATACGTTATCAATATTTTTGAAAGTTACTTAAAACTTATACTGCTTTGTAAACTAATTATTGCTTAATGAGGTGTATACAAAATACATACAACGTCAAAACAACATCAGTAATTCATTTATGAAATAGAATAACGAATGAAGAGGACAAATAATATTAGAAATGATTGAATGCATGTGCAAGATTTGTGAATGGTTTTGTCATCTACAGTTGTGATCCATTCTACACCTATATTACTATAGCAATCTAAATTAATGTAAGATTCAGATTGTAATTTTGGAATAAATTGAAAACAAAGAAAAAGAAAATGAAGCAAACCTTCAAACTTGCCAGATTGTTGATACCCTCGATCGTTTCTTCTTTCCTTACACATATTTGTCCATTCTTCAGATATCAGTGGCTGATGTTGCTGCTTCTGCTGCTGAATGCGAATTTCTAGCATTGGTTCAATAAGATTCTGAAATATAATTAACTAATGAACATTGAGTTAAAAAAAAAAATGATTTGGAAGAGAATAAAAAAGGAATGATACACTTACTGTAACAAGACATACATTGTTAGATCGTGAATTACGATTATTAATCCGGTTTCAGTGCTATGATTCATGATTCTATGGAACTAACCGTGGTGTAAGGGGTCCGGGGATTATCACCACTTGCAGATTTCGTAGAAGAATGTTCATCAAAATCACCGAATCGGAAGGGAGTATGCCGAGCTGTTGGTGGTAAAGAAAGTGCAGACGCACCACCGGTTGTCGTTGCACTAACACCTGCTGTACTTGCCACACCATGATGTATTAAAAAGCTGAAATGTCATACTTCCAATATTAAGAGTGAAGAAAAGAAAAGATTAGAAAATCAAATGATTATCCGCAACATACATATGGTATTGAAACATATTTTGAATTGTTTGCAAGACCCGAATAACAATATTCAGGGCTAACCTGAGATTATTTGCAAAATGCTACCATCTCTTATGACCAAAAGTTGTCACACTAAAAGTTACTCATAGTTGGTAAAAGGTTGTAAATTAGCAGACTACTGATGTATTTGCTATCAATTAGAGCAAATGTTTAAAGTTGATGTATCAAAAAAAATGAATAATAAGGAAGGTGGGATATAATATTTTGAAGAGCAATAAACAAATTGTGTTGAAGTAATGAGATATTTCTTTAAAAGAATCGCTTTTAATCTTTCAATTCGTTCTAAAATCTGATGTATCTGTAACCAATTCAGGAAGATGTTTAAAGTTAATTAAAAGTGATTCTTGTTAATCTCTCTAAATCACTTCATACCATCTGATAGACATACCATGCATAAAAAAAATTGATTAACTAACAAAACAACTAATTAATTCTAAAGTGATTGAAGTAATTTCGATTTTTCGAATCGGTTGGAAGAATTGATTTCAAACTGATTTTTGCAATTCAGTGTGGTATTTAAATTAATGAAACGAATAAAACAAACCCTTTATTCATACATGACGATACTGAATTTGAACGTTTTCGCTTGCTGTGACTGTAATGTGGAAGGACACGACTTGAACGTCTTGACGTACCTAAAGATGGCCGGGAGGATAGAGTTTGTCGTAGCACTACCTAAAACATGAACGATTATGCCGATAACAATGAAATTAACCGAAGTTAAAATTCATAACTGTAATTCAATAACTGATATCAATTCCTTTTGTGCGCTATTTTACTATTGGTCAGTAAACAGGCACACACAAATAGAGAGACACAGAGATATATAAATGAAGGAAATGAAACGAAATGAAAGATGAACCATAGTATCTAAAGATGTGCTCATGCTTAGTGGTGGAGCTCCTTGAACATGGCTACTAGAAGTTGTTATCGAAGTACTACAAGTACTTTCCGTTGAACTGGCAAGCATTTCACCACTGTAGGAAGATGATGTAAGCGTTGTAGCAGTTCGTTGTCGCTGTATTTGACTTGAGGTTGAGGTTCGTGGAAGAGTTCCCTGGGCTTGTCCTAACTAAAATCTCACATTTATATAGTTGAACTTGATTCATTTCATTTTATCAAACACAAAAGAAAGAGAAAGGGAGAAAGTATATACGAATGAAACGGTAAAAATAATAACAGTAATAATACCTGGCATAGGTCAAGAGCAGCGATCGTGGAACGTTCCTCCATATCACTGAGCCGATTATCATCAGGTCGCAAAACAACATCTTCCACTGCTCGTTTCAAATCACCAATGTGCATAACGAATGAATTTTGCTAATGAATGAATCAATTATATTAATTCAATCAACAATATTAACTGAACTAGGAGCAATAATTTTGTGATGGAACATGCCAAATTCAGGACGTCACCACTCGTTCCACCCGGTTCTTTCCGTATAAATACTGGAAATTCTGGTAATTACACAATCAACTATCATCCATTCTTTTCGTCTCTTATCCAAATTTAACCATTCTGGAATTGATTTAAAATACTTTTTTCCTCTTTCTCGTCGTTATCAATATGTTGTTCAAGTGATAAATTTGTGTATCCATATATATATATATATATATAAGTATGAATATATCAGCACAGATATTCTAAAACTTTTATTATGAAAGCGAAAAAAAAGAAAAGAAAAGATAGAAGAAGGCAATGATTAGACTGGAAACGTCAAAATGAGGTCAACGATGTCACCAAATGAACATATTTGCTCTAAATAATGATACATCACCATATATATACATATATATGTATACAAATATATATATATATATTTAAATGATAAAAAAGGATGAGTAAAAAGTTAAATACTGAATTATTACATCGTATATCCCATGAATATACAAATATTTATATATATAATTAATATGAAAAGGAAGAAATGAATCATTTTGCCGAATTTCTTATTCATAATTCTTTATTATTATTATTTGTTGTCATTATTATCAACATTATCAGCTTTCTTTCCTATCCTTTACAATCACTACATGACTTGATAATAAATTTCATCCCAACCTTTCTCTACAACTTTTACTCTTCAATATAACAAACATTCCCATTAAAACGAACCATTTAATCCTCCGCTAAAGAGCAATTAATATCGTAGCGTTGAAGATAAATAATACGTAGTATTATAATCATACCAATGATAAATTCCTCTACTTTACAGATCAAATAGATATTGATCGGGGAAATAGAATAGTTATATGATCAATATTAAGATCCTATCATCCTCTCTTATCTTATCATTCTTCATCCGTCTTGGTAATTTAAAAATCCAACTGGCCTCCCCAATAGTCGTATACGCTCAATGAACTGATGTATTAATATGATATGGAAAAGTAAGATCGATCGTATTTAGCTACTGTCACTGATTATTGATAAGTGATGGGAAAAAAGATTAGTGATTAAATAAAAGACCGAAGAAAGTTAAAAACAATATCGATAACAGATAATAACAATAAAAATAACCAAATATCAATTACTCGATTAAAGATACGAATACTTTCAAAGAAAAAAGAGAGGGAGAGAAAGAGAAGGTGAAAAAAAGGAGAAAGAGAAGAAAGAGAAAGAAAAGAGAAAGGAATGATAATAAATTGAAAAGTTGATGATAATCATTGCTTACATCTCATCACTTTGTTAAATCGTCACAAAGTGTAAGTATAAGCAACCAAACAAAGAGAGGGAAAAGAAAAAAAGAAGAGAAAAAAAATGTATCAATCTAATAGGAATAATAATAAAATGTTGACTAAAACACAGAAGAAACATTATAAATATCAATCTATCAATCTATCAATCTATCAATCTATCAATCAAATCTATATATCATTTAATATTTCCATCATTATCCTTCCCCTACCAGCCCTTTTCCAATTATTTTTCCGCTGTCTTCTGGAAATGGAAAAACGGAAGCGAGTTTTTCGTTTACTTTCATCCTTTCACTCTTGGCTTCCTTTTCCGTCCTAATAAGGCCACTCCAAAACAGCCAAAGCAGAAAAAAGATCTGGTCCATTATTAGTTATTTGTGAAAAAACAGCAAATTCTGACATGTAAATATATTTATTTTCCTCCTATTTTAGGTCACAGTCGTCCATATCATTGTAAACAATACTTTACTGTTAACCCTCACCATTGCGCATCCCTTTGTCCATCCTTGTCCACTTTGTCCTTGCCATCCCTTTCTTTTCGATTATTTAAGTTCATATTTTTAATTTTCGTTATTGAATGAAATGTTATTTGATCAGAAATATCCTCTTCTAAGACAGTTTTTTCTAATGTTCGAAATGACAGATTCATTTCTGGAAATGGTTAGAAATATTTCTTTTCCTCTTTCTATGAAAGAGATTATGAAGCGTAAAATCAGTTGACCATCGAGAAGCAGAAGTCATTCTATAGCTTGTGTCATAGATAGAAAGAGGAAACAGGAGAAAGGATGAAACATTAAACGTATCATAACTTTTGACCTCTGAGAAAGTTCACTATATCACTGTAGATCGATGGACTGAATGGTTGAATGGACAAATGAATAAACGTGAATTAATGAATGAATGGATGGATGGAAAACATGTCTCATATTAGACAGTCAAGTAGCCTACAAATAATGGTCAAAAGTTAATTTGACCAGACAGTACTTTACGGAATGCTTCAAAGCATACAAACGTGAAACAGAAGTGCCGTTTTGGAATGACGGAAAAACTGATGAGATGTTACGTGACGTGATATTACCATCTCTATACGTGAATAATGATTCATAAAGAGAAAGTGGGAAAAGGAGAGGGAGAAAGGACGATAATTACGTGGATCAAAGGAGAATCAACTGATGATAAATATCTGTTTCATCTTCTATCATCGATCATTTCTTCAAGGGATAGAAAAAATGGAACAAAAAGGGTGCTGTAATCTGTAATTTTAATAGAAAACGATGCTAATGACTAAAAGTTGCAAACAAAAAAAAAAAAGAGAAACGAAAGAAATTGGCAATCAATCTGTAACAATAGCTAATATTTAGGAGGGAAGGGAGGAAGAGAGAGAGAGAGAGAGAGAGAGAGAGAAGAAATAAAAGAATTATTTACAT